GTCGAAACATTGTACATTTGCTGTTATATTAAAGTTTTTCTTCATTACCCATTCAAGCCGTCTCCAGCCATTATTAACTTGTACTATGTTGAGAAAAAAAAGGAGTGATCTAACTGAAGTTTACATGTTTATTTAAGGATAAATAAAATGCCTTCAATTCTTTGTTCCACATTCTGAAAACAATAGGATGAGTGGACAAGTTTAAAATAAAAAAAGACAGGGAAGGTTTCAGTTACATAGTTATATTTTTCTAACAGGATGATTAATACATGGAATGGTTTTTCATTAGAAGTAGCAGAGGCCAGCACTTTACAAGTTTCAAGGAGGAATTGAGGATTTCCTGAAATATAAAGGGAGTGTTTAACTATTTTTCTTTTGGTAGGTGTATTGTATGTAGGGATACCTTGAAAGACCAACTGGTTTCTTATTGTTTGTATATTATGTTTTTCTATTATATGCATATATAATAGTTGATTAAATTCAGACATTGAAGATTGGCTTCTCATAGCTATCAAAGTTGATTTGTATTATTTTTAGTAATACATTCAGATGTAAATTTAAATAACAATTAGTACATAAAATAATTTTCTACAAAAATCTCATTTACCTTTGTGATAGATTTCCATGTGGCACATGAGAAAACTTGATGAAATGAAAACTTTGCTACAAATTTCACACTTAAGAGGCTCTGAAGGATTCCCCAACAAATCTCTGTTTGTATCTTTGTCTTCAGAAGTTGGCTCATTGGAAGATGAAGTTTCTGTTTCACTTGATGGGAAATCTTCTACTACAGTGGTCATTTTCAGAATTTTAGATGCTTGTGATCATCAGAATTCAAAATCTTTAGTAAACTTAGTAAAAGTTCATAATTTCTATGTTAATTCTTATACAGCAAGTACTGCACATGTCAGTGAGGATGTGCTCTTTGGACTTTCCTGAAAATGTTAAAATACATTTGTGGGATATAAGTACTTTATAGTTGATTAACATACTGATATTAGTGACTGAATTTTATTGTTATACAGTAAGTTCATTACAATTAAATTATATTACTATGAACATTAGTTTATAAACTTTAGTGCTAAGCCTAAAAAGACAATGTTTCTAGACAGATATCCAGACTATATCAATTTCTATGTTAAAATCAGGAAACTGTGTTGGCAAACAATTTAATAGTTATACTTTATTACTGTTCATTTACTACAGGCCTAACATGTTAAGAGTAATTATAATTTAACTTACTACTGCCTATTGTGTTCAGAAATAGCGTATTTAATACTTTTTTAAAAATCATGAATAAACATATTTAAACATTTACTCAAAGCACCTGATGTTTAAATATTTGTACAAGTTAGTTATAAATCATTTTTCAAATGGCAGACCTATCACACTGCCATATCAACTTGGCTGTACAGGCATAGGAATTGCTGTCACTGTGTCAGGTGGAGATACCTATTGATACGTCTTAGAACATTATGTTTTTTGTTTATTTTGTTGAATTTCATGCAAAGTTACTTGAGGGTTATCTGCACCATTATGTTTTTACAAGTTTTTGTGTATTAACTCCTTTTTGATGAAAACAGTAATAAATGTTACTCATTTCTAATGTACACTGAGTGGTCACAAGTAAATAGACACCTAATTTTTCGTCATTTAACTGATTTATGCTAACTAATTTGTGTTCACAGAGCACTATATAGATGAAAATGTTCCGTACACTAATTATCTTGTGCTACAACATGTCTAGAACTCAAGGTTCTCTCGAATTGTCAGATTTTGTTAGAGGAAGGATAGTTGGTCAAGCAGATGGTGGATAAGTCAGCAGCAAATTTCACAGAATTTGGGAATTCTGCTTTTTCACAATCAACAGAATCATCGTGCAGTTCAGGAAACACGGCAAGGAAACAACTGAGCAGCATCTGGGTCGTCCTGGTCCATTGGAGAGGACAAAAAGGGCTGTCAAGAGGAGCATCAAAATGGATCCCAGAGTAACGACTGCAGAAGTGGCCAAAGTTGGTAGGATGAGCCTGAAATCTGTTCAACGGATTCTCCACAGATTGGGTTATTGTTGCAGAGCAGCTAGACGGAAGACCTTATTAAGACCTGCCAACATAGTCAGACGAAAGAAGTGACCAAGCCTCTAGACTTTTGGAAGACCGCATTGTTCTCAGACGAATCAAGATTTGCTCAATGTTCGGACAGTGGAAGGATATGGGTCTGGAGAATGCCTCACCAAGAGTTTTGGCACAACGGATTGCAGCCAACTGTGAAGCATGGTGGTTTCAGCATGATGGTTTGGGTTGGTGGGAGATCGAGCTTAGTGGAGTGCGTTGGCAACATAAATTTTGCGAAATACATCGAAATCTTGGAGGAAGGACTCTTGCCACTTTATTCCTCGGGTTTTGTGGACAAGAACACAACGTTGTTCCAGGAAAATGGAGCACCGTGTTACACTGCTAGAAACACCCAAAAGTGGCAGGAAGAAAATGGTATCCAGAAGTTGCTCTGGCCGAGCCAATCTCCTGACATGATCCCCATCGAAAACCTCTGGGCCATACTCGACCGGCAAGTCAAGAAACAACCAAAAAAAACCAACTTCGAAGATCTACTAAATATTAATCAAATTATAAATACATCAATTCGTGTGAATATGACTGAAAAATTTCATTTTTTCTGAAAAG